TTTTAGCCATTTTACTTCAAAGTCCAGTTTACAATCTTGCCTGAATAGACCAGCTGTGGGATCATTGTTGAACCAATGTTCAACACACGAGGGCGACAGAGTCACAACCTTAATATTTCCAACACTGACACTTTCTAAAAGTATTTCATGTAATCAACAGTTTAAAGACTGTTGGTGAATGTCAACATGTTTATGTCGTCATAAACATGTTGACATTTTTCAACATGTTAGAAGCATACATAGCATGCTATGTGTGCTATGTGTAAACATAGCATACATAGCATACATAGCATACATAGCATGCTATGTGCAAACATAGCATGCTATGTATGCTATGTGTAAACATAGCATACATAGCATGCTATGTGCAAACATAGCACACATAGCATGCTATGTATGCTATGTGTAAACATAGCATACATAGCATGAAGCTATGCTAATGAGCTGTAAAATTCAATGGGATTTAAAAGTTATGACAAATTTATGGTTTATATTTATCACCAATGTGAAAATGTACAACATGACACTTTATTTCAATGCTTCTTTTGTTTGTCAGTGACATAGGCCCAATTTTAAGGAGTTAAATTACAAAGTCAAATTTTTTTAAGTCATATTTGATTTAAACATTTTTATAATAACTGAAGGAAATATAGTTACTTGATTGTGCTATAAAATGGCACAATGTGGTTGGAAAACACTTAATTTTTATCTTTAAAAGATACTGATCTCATCACATTGCACAGAAAGACACAAATCCAAATATGCAAGGCACAAACAAATAAATAAACAGAACCGAGACAAGGGATAAACTAATGTGTCAATAAATAAATAAAAAAGATCAAAATGATAAAATAACTAAAGCAAAAAATCAAATCAACATGGGATCACAACAGGTAGTTTGTTTCAGTCTATATTCTCACTATATGCTTTGTATGCCTGTCATCTGAAAACTCAAAATTGTCAGAAGGACCTTAAAGGTTTAGGAAAAATCTCCCTCAAATACCAAGTGCATGATTGCTGAACACAGAGAAATGTTACATGAAAAAGGACTGAACATAATAAGGGAATACTAGAAAAAAACCTAAAAGTATTTATTACCGTGTGTCACGACATTTCCTCCTAACTGGAATCTGTATTAGGTTTTATTCCTATGTAAAACAACTTTTAATCCCATGAAAGGAGTAATATTTCTATGGCCCATTGTGTTGTTGACCTCAACGTAGCTGAGCTCAGGGACAGTGTTTTGCATAAATACAAATATAACCTTACTTCCCTTTTGGTAAAAGACAAGTTCATAAATGTGAAACATTCTTTCACAGGTCACAGTTTCACCATTTAGGTACCAAGGAACACCTTCCTAAAATAATGTACTTTGGGGTAACATGAATGTCCTTGAGTGGACCATTCAGTCCCCAGATTTAAATATTAACTAAGATCTTTGAACACATCTGAAAACGGCAGTGCACTGACGCTTGACATTTTACATTTGAGAGTTAAAAACTGTAGGATCAGAGGCTATAATTGCTGTTAAAATTATTTCAGAAACGTATTGAGAAGAGTCTGTGAAAACATATATACACATAATTTTTGTTTTGTCATATCTCAACAATTGGGGAACCAGGAAAGCTAAAAAAAAATGTAAATATTACTCAAATATAAGTCATTAACTGGGACACAAGGCTGCTTTATTACACAGGCGTACCTGCTTTCCATAATAGGGCTGATCTTTGAAGAAAATGTAAATACCTGTTTTCCTTCTGAAAAAAAATGGATCATGTAGGTTTGGTCAGTCACATAAAAAGAGATTAAATGTTTTTAAAGTTCACTCTCAAGATCTATGCCTCTTCTTCTGTGACAGCTCTGTCTTCTGCTCTGCTTCACCAGGTGAGTTTACAATAAAGCCAAAGAGCATTAAATACTAGATATTATTTAAATTCAAGATCTCGAATAATTACTCTGTAATTCATAAATAGATGTCGAACTGCAAAATATATTGAATCACAGTCATGTTCAAAATATCAGTGTGTGCAATATTGCAAATGTAAATGATAACTTCAAAGCAATATTTGGTAGGATATTACATTTTAAGTGTTATGCATTCATACCCTGCATATGAACATGTTTAGCAAGTTTGATGGACTCTTAACTACCCTTGATGTTTACCCAAAATGTATATTTTACATGGGTAATGGAGCTCATGGAGAGGAGTGGGGGGATTCATGCATTGGCAGAGAAAATAATCTGGATTAATAGTAATCAATACGATCCTTGCTATTTTCAGTTCAATACAAGTTATTAAGCTGCAGCAGAAATTCTGTTTATGCAAAGAAAACAAAAACCATCCTACTACTGACAATCATTGTTCAATCATTTTCTTAGACTTTCTTTCCATTTCTAAAAGGTTAAAGACCATGGATCATCGGATCATCCTGCTACTGTTGCTGAGTATGTTCCTGTATTTTATAATTTTGTGTTCCTTTATTCTCTTTATAGAAAATATATAATTATTTATACATTTACTCAGATTTATTGGTTCTCTAAACCTATTTTTCATTTAAATTTTGTGTTGAAAGTGTCTGGCTTCATTCATCTTTCCACTATTCCACTAGTCCAGAAGTGTTGTACATCAGGAATTGATTGTATAAATTTAAATAATTAAATAATTAATTATAATTTATAATAAATAATTATAATTTATTTATACAATAATTGTCTTGTACAAACTTACATCAAGCATCCTGGCATTTAGCAAGCTACCCTGTAAACCTGAGCAGCAGAGGACAGTAGCTGTCAGAAACTTTATTGCTATGAAACTTTTACAGGTTGAAAGTCACACATTACGTATTCTTCTTTGTTTATATAATTTAGCATTGTTTAGAAAACATAATATGGCTTATCAATATTTTGTTGATAAGAAGTCCAAATCCAGCCATCTATTTCAAGTATTTTGAAACCAGTAAAGTTTCCTGGTTTAATTTACAAATATGATGCCCAGCTTTAATCTTTAACCTTTGGTTATTATATTCAGGAAGTCGTAATACCAAACTATTGTACTCTGTCATTTTATATGGTGGATCCATGAAAATATAGAATATATAACCCCTCACATTATTTCCCTGTGTTTTAGGAACCATCCAGCCACTTTCTGTTGCAATAGCAGAGAGTGGTTGTACAAAGGAAATCACCATTGGAAATTGCTCAAAGGCATGGATCATCAATAGCAACAAAATTAATGGCATAGATGTTTTGAAAGTAGCATGCAGGCATTTTAACCCAAGCAAATTCGAACTGGTATTAAGAGCTTTGCCAAGGGATTGTTCCTCGTCAAATGCTGGTACCTACTCATGCCTTGAAGTCACGGTAAAAGGTGATATGTTTTACATGCCTTAGTTTTTGTCATGATTATAAATGTTGTAAACTAAACCCTGAATTATGTGCCTAAAGGAAAATGTTTTTGAATTCTCTATATTTTCATATTGTATAACTCAGATGTTTGTTTTCATGCTCTAGGAAAGAAATACAAAATGTGTAAAAAATGCTGCAGAAACTTATGTCTTGCTCCAGCTTTTTGCAAGATCTGTGAAGAGAGGTAATTACGTCATGTGGTGATTATTTTTAAACATATACATGGGGAAATAAGCATTGAACAAGTTAATGTCAGAAAATATGCTTCTTATTGGGTTACTCACATATAATTTATAGCAAATGTTTGTAACAATCTACATAATACTCTTAGAGATGACATTTATCCAAATTACATTCTAAATTTTAAGCTGAATAGCTTTCAGAATGACTACTGAACATGCTTACTGAGAAGATGCTTATTGATAACGGTGACACAGAAACTAGGAACACAATCTGACACATTCTTCCTCACAAGCCATCTTCAAATCTAAAAGGCTTTGGGGAAAAATTATGTATAGGTAAAGAAAATTATCTTTTATTCTTTCCATATTTCAGTTGAGTGATTGGCTGGGCTATTCTAACAGTTCTTACTGTTTTTCTGTGAAACCAAGTAAAAGTTTTCTTGGCTAAGCTTGGGTTGATTAGCATATTAAAAAATCTAACTTTATTTCATATTCAGATGTTTATTAATAATGTCACGGGATATTTGTGGTTTCATCTTCCTTTTGGTGATATAAAGTTGTCTTACAGCAAATGCTCATAAACAGCCCCAAACGGCAATGTACCCACATCCAGAAGTCAATGTCTGTATTTTAGTTTGTGGAGATGTGCAGAGCCATTCTTCCTGTAAAAGTGTGTATGTTGGGGTCAGCAGCTCCAGTCCTAAAGTGCCTCTATCCTGCAACTTTTGGAGTTATCACTGCTCCAACACATCCAAATGAAGAGGATGAAAGCCTTCTTTTACATGTCAGTAAGTTTTCAAAAGGCCTTCTCGTTAAAAAATAATTGGATTCAGATGTGTTTCAGCAGGGACGCATCCAAAAGCTGCATATCAAAATGTGTTTTTATCCATTGCTGATGGTGTTATTTGCATCAGCTGGTTGTGATGGTTTGTAGACCTTTTTGTTTTAACCATGATGACATTCATGCTGTAGAAGCTTGAAATAAGAAACCTTGATATATGCCATCACCTGGGGCTGAATGCAAGGATAGGTCTTTTTTTTTTTTTAAGTTTTGTCAACACTTCTGAAGTGGTGTGTTCAGTATCCATTCCCTGTGTTCTTATCATGTCTAACCTAATTTATGGATTTTTTTGTCACACCTCTGCATTTGTCAAATACTTGATTTGTCACAAACATCTGGTGTAAGTCAACAGGCCCTTTAGAAATATTTTTACTGAGAAATGATTTGTTCAATAGTTATTTTCCCAAACATACACCTACACACACATTTATTTATGCATAGTGTTCAATATTCTTCTGATCAGTTTTTTATTACAGAAAAGAGCAATACAGTGCATCAGACTTTCCACTACAAGTTAAGATAGAATTGAAAGATTCTATCTGTGATCTGTCTGGAACTGAAAGTACTTTTGATGAAACAAGTAAGTACTTTAAAACAAAACAATTACACCGTCCTACAGATTTAATGTGATATTTTTTTACTGATTTTGTTGTGTCCTCTTGCTTGCGTAATTTTGGTTTTGTCTGTATATTTACCTATATTTGCAAATGGGACTACAGGTACTTTGTTTTTTTATTGTTATATTTGCAAATTAGCTACAATAAGACCATGATGTTTGTATGAAAGTGTTTCTAGAACAATCTTCTTATCTGTTTCAGTACAAAAGTAATGCATATGAGTTTTTTTTATTTTAAGGTTCATCTCTGCAGTTGTTTGATGAAACAAAAAGTTGGATTGAAGCCTTGCAATACTGCGATCAACTGAGTTCCTCTCTGGTTGAAATAACTAACCAGACAGTTTTGGAGGAGCTAAAGACCATCTTGGCAAACAAGACAGGACTGCAGAAAGAGGTCTGGGTCGGCCTTGAGCGGTCCATTTTTGGCACCAACGTAAAGTGGCAGTGGATATCGGGAGCCACAGCTGAACAAGCTGACTGGATCAGCAGTTTTCCGGCTAATAGTTTCAACAATCACTGTGGAAAGATTGTCTGGAATAATCAGTCACAAACCATCCAGCTGCTTGATGCCAACTGCCATGATAAATTACCCTTCATCTGCCAAGGTGAGCTGCTCACAGTAGAGTCCAGTTTGACATAACATTTAATTATACTGGAAATATGTTTTAACGAGAAGCTTGATATAAACAATGGACACTAAAATTTGACTAGAAACATAAATCAAAATACATTAAAAATAAAACAACTGTGTCTTTCCTTTACAGATAAGACTGAGATGCTTGAAGACTAAATGAATTTTACTCTGGAGGATTATTTTGAATCACTGCTGGTGTATTTCTTGCATGCCTTTCAAATTAAGTTTTGTGTTTTGCATTTCTTACATTTTTTTTTCTTTTGTACAGCATAATACATAGGTTAGACATCTATTGTTATTTAACTGTCAGTTTTGTTGAAGATTAGCTACCTTAAAATAAATATTTCATTCCTTGTCTTGGTTTAGAGAATATATATATATACTCTCATAATATCTGTTGTTTAAAACAATAAATTGAACCTAATTTTATCTAACATTGAAGGCGTCCTGTCTCACTGAGTCATGGTTTCTCTAAAGGTCTTTAAGTACAACCTTACTGAGGCTGAAATAAACAGCAGTCTGCATCAGCATGAGCGTTGCTGACGCAGGGTATGTGTAGGACATGTCCACCGCACCTCCTTCATCTGTGCTCTCTAGTGTCCCCCATATACGCTACATGCGCTACAACTGTTTTCCACTTCTTGCTGCAGAAACCAAGAAAGCAGCTAAGCAGCCAAAAGTAACAAACTCTCAATAAAAGGCAATGGGAAGTTAAAGAAACCATAGCAACTGTAATGCTGACAACAATTAAAAAATGTATAAAAAGTGAGTTTACATCTGTAGTTTAGGCTCCAAGCCCCCACAATAGAAAACAACTTTAAAAAAATGCTAGATGGACGTATTTCCAATTTTTTTTTAATTGTCATGACCAAATATTGTGTATTTTATCAGGGTTTCTCGTGCAATAATTTGATAAGCCGAATTAGCTAACTCTTGAGTTTCCCGATAGGATCTGAAGCTCTGATGCAAAAAGAGTTTGACTACATTTTAGTGTTGATTTTATGAAAGTACAAATTGAAGATAGGGTACAACAA